GAGAGAGAGAGAGAGAGAGAGAGAGAGAGAGAGAGAGAGAGAGAGAGCATGACGACAGGTCAGCTCAGCTGAGAGAGAGAGAGAGAGAGAGAGAGAGAGAGAGAGAGAGAGAGATCATGTGTGATGTGGGAGTGACCGGGAGCTACAGGTTCATATAAGCTGACCATGGATGGAGGGATAACAAACAGAACTGCTCCAGTGTTGCTTTTGTCCAGCCTTTCCTGGCAGTGGGAGATGATGAGAGTGGAGGGCACCAAATAAAGTGCAACTGCAGGGACGCTCAGAACTGACACACACAAAAAAATCATCCAGGTAACTCTTCCACCCCCATGTGTGAATGTAATGTGTGTATTATATACATGTAAGTGGCAAATATATTGTAGATTAAATGTTGATGCTGTCCATCATAGTATACATCTCTGCCTGCTGCAACTTCAGGTCCTTCTGCAGAGCGATGAGGCTGGTTGAGGGAAACTGTGGTTTCAGCTTTTTTTTTCCTAATGTAATTTTTACTCCTGTCATTTATTCTAGCCGTCCATTCTTCTTCTCCAGGACTGGCTGTGAGGATGGAGAAAGCTGCACTGCTGCTGTTTTGTTGCCTGGTCATGTCTCTATCGGGCTCCCCGCTCTACCCGTCCATTAGGTAAGTCCTGGAAGATTTACTGAAATTCTTTCCATTGCTGATTTTCTTTTTTTGTGTTCGTGTTTGGTGGGGTGTTGTTTTTTTGTTGTTGAACTTATTCAAATCTTTTTATGACTGGTTGTACACTGAGAAGTGTTTGAAGATTACTACTCTGGATAAAACATGTTTTTGAATGGAATTGGGACAGATTGCATTAGAATACACTCCTCTGTATGATTAAACGTCACTGAGCTCCAGAGGACAGGTTATGCGGTTGGAAAGCTTCAGCGAGTGAAATGGGAAACATTTTAACATTTAAAAGCCAATAACGAAGATGTGCAACAAGATACACAACGTGACACTGATTTGAGCTCGGGGGGGGGGGGGTGTTGGACAATGACTTGACCACAGTGTCAGGGCTTTTAAGATGTGACCATTTCCATGCACAAAGCGCATGATGTTTTACCTTTCACTTGATTGCTTTGCATGTCATAGCTGTGCCCTCTGCGTTTTGTCATGCTAAATAGGGTCAAGATGTCTGGCTTAGTCACCACGTTACATTTGCACAGCACTCTAATCTCATGTGCCCTGTGCCCAAAGCAGCAGAGTACATCATTTTACAAGAGCTACAGCATTTTGCCGTAAGATTGGGGATATTTTTCTCAGTCTAAAATCCATCTTCATCATAAAAAACTTTGAATGCATGTATGGTACATCTTTGAATAGAACGCTCCATAATTGTTTAGTTAACGTGGATATTTCTCAGGTTCGGCCAGAGGGACACATCCATACTGATGACATCTTCTATGAAGAATCCAGCAGAGCAGCTGGAGGACGACACGAGTCCTCCCAGGGAGCGAGCAGAGTTACGGTCAGTGTGTTAATATGGGCTGAGTGGCCAATCTAAAATAGGGTTAAAATCGTCACTTTACCCAAATAAAAAAAATTTTGAAACGAGAGTGATATCTATGCAAATAGATATGTTTTTTTGAAAGATGTCTGCCTCCATCCACAATACGATATAGGAGTCAATGGAATTACTCTTGTGGTGCTCACAGCAGTAGAAATGTATATTTTAAAGAATTCTAAATCGGCGTGTCCTTTCAGAACAAGTGTGCTAGAGTAGCAACTATTTATCTATTAGAAAGTAGTTCCAAAAAGTGAAATTGAAAATGTTGACAGCGAAGCGAGATGGAAGGATATCTCATAATCTGGGCAAATAAAACCAAAACTATCTGTACGGCTGGTGAATGCATTTCATCCTGCTGACAATAAGACTAACAAACGATTTACACCTCTGTGTATACATATACATATACATACACACACACATATATATATATATATATATATATATATATATATATACACACATATACATATATATATATATATATATATATATATATATATATATACATACATA